GAGGGTGCAATTATCACGAAATATTGCCCACGCTCATAATAAACGTCGGCAGAAAGTTCGAGTTAGAGTTGTGTAGGGTATCGTATGGTCGGCCCCGTCCGACTATACTGATCCCCTCACTGGTGTTAATTTTGTAAATAGATTTAAAACGAACTTTACACACGCAATTTGGTATGCTGCACGGCTTAATATGTAATCTGGTATCAATCAGGCATCCATTGGTTATTTGGTGTACAATTAACATGAATAGGTCGAATGAAACTTGTTTCTAGTTTCTAGAAAACTTGCCAGAGAATAATTTATCTAGCTATGGGGGTTTAGTGCACCATTTACTTAAAATCGGACGAAAGTATGTATATATAGGAGCTATATGTAAATCTGAACCGATTCCAAGAAAATTTGACACACGCAAGTTTATAGTAACTTCAGTACATCATAAAAATTGTGTGTCAATCCGCCAAACTTTGAGTCTTTAGAGCACAATTTACATTAAATCGGACGAAAATATATATAGGAGCTATATGTAAATCTGTACCGATTTTCACGAAACTTAACACACATTACTCCAGACTTAATTCATTGCGCTATGCCAAATTTTGAGCAAATCGAAACATATATAGGGACTTTGGTGCACTATTTACATTAAATCGGACGAAGATATATATGGGAGCAATATCTAAATCTGAACCGATTTGCCCAATTTCAGTAGCGTTATTCCTTGGGCCAAATTAGTGACCTATACCAAATTTTATCCAATTCGGGTCATAAATGCGACCTGAACTTTGTTTATAATTTAACATGGACAGACGGACGGACAGACATGCATAAATCGTATTAGAAAGTGATTCTATGCATATTCTCAAAAGGGACCATGTGTCGATCTCGTTTCCTTTTGCCTGTTACAAACATATGCACAAAGACATAATATCCTGTACCACAGTGTGGTTAACAGTGTTGCCAATTTAGCACTTTTGCTGCTAGATTTAGCACCAAAAAATTGAGCATAGCATATTTTTTTAGCATTTTTTATTTTTTCCGGAATTTTTTAAAAATTTCGGTATTTTTGGTTTCATCCCAAATTTCAAAATGTTTCACGATATGAGTTGGATGAATGTTTGGTCAAACATGTTATACTCCGCACATTGTGGTGTGCATCAACATTTTCTTAAAAAATGGTCGGGTACTTCATATGGTGGCAGAGGTATTGTCTGTTTTAAAATTGCAGCCACTTCGATGGAAAAAAGGTTGTAAAACCTGAAAAGTACACAAATAGGATTGAATTTTATATGTGACGTATGTCCAAACATAACCTACGAAGGAATGCTGTTACTGAAAATTTGCCAGCATTTTTATATGCAAACCTTGACCAAGTTTGATAATTATCTGCATCCAAAACCCCATTTTGGTGGGAAAATGTGGTCATAACCTTCAAAATTGTTATAAGGTAGCTACCGGCATTAATGCATTAAAATCAAATTTATCAAATCATAGTCAATTTGGATTTTCATCAAAATGTCGAAAAATGTGGGGGTACCGCTCTTTGGTAGCTACATCGAGCAAACCCCAATAATAAAAACTCGTGGTAGAGCTATTCTCTGTCCAATGAGAATTCAAATCCACTTCGGTTGAAAAACGAGCCTAAAGTCGCCAAAACAACGAATAATGGAGCTCTATGGGAGTTATTCGGAAGCATCTTTGATAATTTTTGGTGGTGCACGCTATTCGGTATGCCTCAATCAGAAGTATGGAAGTTGTGGCTGCATCTGCACCAGTTTACAAAAAAGCTATAACGTCATTCTAATCTCAATTTGATACGTTATGCAAAATTTCGTGTCAATCGGATAAACATTAGGAGTTTGGTGGAACTTTTACCTAAAATCGGACGAAAATACATATGTGGAAGCTATATATAAATCTGAACCTATTTCGACGAAACTTGACAGAGATTAATTTATAATAATTTCAGTTCATTGTACAAAATTGTGTGGTAATCGCACAAAATTTACATAAGCAAGAAATATAGTAATCATAGCTCCTATATTTCTTGCTTATGTAAATTTCAACCTAACAAAAAGCTCCTATTTACTTAAAATCATATATATATATATATATATACTTGTGGCCAAAACTAAAGCAACTGAAAATGCAAACTGAACAAATGATCTGTAACTTTTTATACCCTTCACCACATTATGTCTTTGTGCATATGTTTGTAACAGTCAAACGAAATCGAGATAGACACATGGTTCCTTTTGAGAATATGCATAGATTCACTTTCTAAGTCGATTTACGCATGTCCGTCCGTCCATGCATTTTTGCGAACAAAGTACATGTCGCATTTGGATAAAATTTGGCACACTTCACTTATATGGTCCAAGGACGAACCCTATTGAAATTGGAGAAAACGCCTCAGATTTAGATATAGCTCCTAAATATAGTTTCGTCCGATTTTATGTAAATGATGCACCAAACTTCCAATATTTTTCCGATGGGCACAAAATTTTGCACAGCGCACTGAATCAGGTCCACAATTATTTATGCGATGTTTTGTTGGAATCGGTTCAGATTTAGATATTGCTCCCATATATAGTTTCGTCCGATTTTATGTGAATGATGCACCAAACTCCCAATATTTGTCCGATTGGGACAAAATTTTGCACAGTGTGCTGAATTAGGTCAAAACTTATGTCTGCTGAGTTTTGTTAAAATCGGTTCAGATTTAGATATATAGTTTCGTCTGATTTTGTTGTGAATGATGCACCAAACTCCCAATATTTGTCCGATTGAGATAACATTTTGCACAGAGTACTTAATTAGGTCCAGATTGATGTCTGCGAAGTTATGTTAAAATCCGCACACCTTGGATATACTATTTTTGAACTTTCTTTACTGGTTTAAAAATAAAGCTACAGTAAAAGTTTTTTTTTCAGAAATAATTATGTAATTTATTCATTAAAAAACAAGAAATATAAACTGAAATTAAATTATATTCCTTTTTTTGGGAAAAGGTTATGTCTGTTTTTTTTGTGAAACTTTCAATTTTGCTATCTGTGATACTTCAAAGATTTTTCCATAGGGTAAAGATCTGACGATTGTGTTGGCCATTATAAAGCACTGATTTTTGAACAAAAGTATCCTTATCCACCATAGTATGGAGGGTATATTAATTTTGTCATTCCGTTTGTAACTCATCGAAATATTCATTTCCGACCCTATAAATTATATATATTCTTGATCAGGGTAAAATTCTTAGACGATCTAGCCATGTCCGTAATCACGCTATCTTCTGAAGAAATTGAGATAGGGTGCTGAAATTTTGCATAGGGTTGTCTTTTGTCTGCAGGCAGGTCAAGTTCGAAGAGGGAAAATATATGGGTCCACGTTTAGGTAAGCTCCCATATAGCAGTACCTCCCAATTTTCGGTATTTTGGGGTTCTTGAGCTCGTTTTTCAACCGAATACGCTGAAATTTGGTACATTGAGTTCTTATTGGGTACTAAATGTCTCCACAAAAAATTATAAATATAGATCCACTTTTTCTGGTAGCCCCCATATAACGGTACCTCCTAATTCTCAGTATTTTGGGGGGTTTTGATCGTATTTTTCCACCGAATTGCCTGTAATTTAGTATTTTGAGTTCCTAAAATGTACTAAATCTCTCCACAAAAAATTATAAATATAGGTCAATTTTTTCGGATAGCCCCCATATAAGGGTACCCCCAATTTTCGGTATTTTGGGGTTCTTGAGCGCTTTTTAACCGAATTCTCTGAAATTTGGAACATTGGGTTCTTATTTGGACCCAAATATCTAAACTAAAAATTATAAATATCGGTCCACTTTTTCTGGAAGCCCCCATATAACGGTACCCCCCAAATTTCCGTATTTTGGGGGTTTTGATCGCATTTTTAATCGAATTGGCTGTTGTTTAGTACTTTGAGTTCTTAGTGGGTAGCAAATTTCTCCACTAAAAATTATAAATATAGGTCCATTTTTTCGGATAGCCCCCATATAAGGGTATCCCCAATTTTCGGTATTTTGGGGTTCTTAAGCGCGTTTTTCTACCAAATTCGCTGCAATTTGGTATTTTGTAGTCGTATGTGGTAAGACATCTCCCCACCAAAATTATTAATATTCGCCCCCTTTTGCTGTAGTCCCCATATAACCCCCTTTTTTATATGAACTATAACCCGCATTTAGGCCTAGCTCCTGTGTGGGAGGTACCAGAAGAAGTGGACCGATATTCCCCATCTTCGAACTTGAACTAAGTTTGGAAGAAATAATATTTTCTGAAACAAATTTGGTCCAAAGAAACATGGGGTCTAGAACCATTTAACTGTGTCAAAGTGTGTACACCTTCCTTAGCCAAAAAGCTGAGGGTATATTAACAATTAAAATTTTCTGAAATTTGTTTTATATTTTACTGTATGATTTACATAATCGATTTGTAGAAATGTCGATATAGGTCCACTTTTTGTATTTTCCCTATATTTTCATTTTAAGTACCTGTCAGTATATCTTTGGTGGAGGGTATCCAAAGTTCGTCCCGGCCGAACTTAACGCTTTTTTACTTGTTTGGTTTTTATTAGTTATTTTAAACCTTCCACTATAAGGTGGAGTGTATATTAAATTTGTCATTCCCCCAGTATTCGGTAGTTTAGGAATTTTGGACACGTCATTCCACCGAATTGGTTGTAATTTTGCATTTTGAGTTCTCATTGCATACCGCATATCCGTACCAAATTGATTAATATTGATACAAATTTCAGGGTTGTCCCCATTTTCTAGGAGCCCCAATTCATTTGAGATAAATTTATTGTCATCCTCATGGTGGGGGTATAAAAAATTTGGACAACCCGAACTTATCATAGCTTTACTTGTTTCTTTTATTGAATTTTTATTTAAAACACCCATAGAGGAAAGATCCATTTGAAAATTGTATATCGACCATAATGCTATTCCCATACGTGCAATAATGTCAATAAGGTGCTATTTGTAAACAACTATTCTGCAAACTGGAACAACATCATTGCCATTGAATAAATAGATTTGGTCACCTGTAGACCCGTGTTCATTGATAAGGGCAACACCGAGCCAATTGTTAATCCCGGTGTATTTTGAGCCATTCTCAACATGATTCGTAACAGCTTCTGCTGCGAAACCGACAAATCATACCAATTAACATCGTTATAGCAGCTATCGATAATGCCATCATTCTATGGAAAATTAGCGTCACTCCAACTCAATTATCAATTCCCATTACCTACCGTTACATACACCAACGTCCCGATGCCACAATAAACATACATCATTACAAGACAATATGTCATATAGACATAACCTCCGGGCCAAGTACCCAGTAGTATACAAAATATGGTACAAACAATACCCATGGAATATGTAGCAATTTGCACCAGAATAACCATGAAGTAGCTATCTTGGGTGGTGGCTAGAAACCTGCAAGCAATTACAAAGAGGTGTCTATACCAATTAAATAAGATTCTGCAGTTGGCTCACTTCATATATCGCTGATGGAATTGTATAATATCCTTTAACATTTCAGTAGATTTCTTCTCATTGGCAGGAAATGTCAACAAAATTTCATTCAAATCTTGAAATTTGCAACGAAGTATATCGCGAAATGTTACAATTTGTGTTACCGGTGTAAAAAATGCCATATCTCCGGCATAAAAGCCAAAACCACCCACGGCTATAAACACAACTTGTATAGCACAGGTCCAGAAAAAACCCTTTGGGGTTGTGGCATCTACAAATGGTACCAGACACTGGACAATCAAGTCATTCGCATTGAATACCAGAGATCGAATAACTGTCATAATTGTCATTCCCAGCACCAGTAAAGCGACAATAAATGCACACAATTTCATGATGTACGATAGCAAGTGTATGCCCTTGTTCAGAGAGCGTTGATAGCCGATGTGCTTTAATTCGTAATCCTCGTAGATGTCATAGAGCTCCCCGAGAAGATAGCGGAAATTTTTCTGTTCTAGAATGCAGTTGAGTAGTTTGACAAAGCCCTGGGAATATGAATAAGAAAATATTTTTCATTGCAGAAAAAAAACGAAATATAAAACTCACCTGTACCAGGGTACCGCCACCAATACTTAGAACCTGCAGTATTATTTTCCAATCATCCTGTACAACGAATCCATCATATATGGTGTAGGACATAAAGCCAAAGGATAGAGTGATTACCATAAAAACCAGTACCGTTCGAATATTGATATGATAGTCATGTTCCAATACGTTGGCGCCACATATGTCCGCACATATTTTCGTTATGCGAACAATAGCCTTAAATCGATCCGATTGGCGATGTGGCATACTATAAATAACGTACTGTGTATGAAGTACTAGAAAAGTGCCCGCTACTTCGTACGCGGAAAGGGAATACAAAAAAATAGTAATAGTAATATTTCATATGGAAATCGTGAATTCTGTATAATGTGTTGTACTATAGTTTTGAAACCCACATCTATTCCTACATCTAATATCAAGTTTATTACAATTAGGCACTCTTTCTTATTTCCATTACATAGATTAGAAAAATAGATCAGAATTCCAATTATATACTTTAGCGGAAACGTACAGGTTCCACAGTTACACATTTTCAAGACTACCTCCATACTATCACCACCACTAAATTTAGAACCAATTAGTACCAAAAACTCTTTGGTCCTTCTTCCTAACTCTCTGTCAGTGACCCACATTGACATAGCTTAAGTCAAACACCATGTACCCGTACTTGTTACATTGTAATATAATATTTGGATTTGGATTATTGACAAAGCTATGTACCAAATTTCAGAGTTCTATTTCCAACCGTTCCGGCGTAATATAGTTTTAGTACTAATTTCAAAGAAATATTTTGCACGTAGTTTTTATTTTAATAGCTTATGCTTCATACAAAGTTTCAGATATGTAAACCTTTCAATTCCATTCAAATATAATACTTAGTACTTTTTAGTACTAAATTCGAAATTTTTTTAACACATACCACTTTGCTTCTCCCAGACAAAGATGCATACCAAATTTCAGAGTTCTACATCGAACCGCATGTAAACCGCAAGTTTACATACTTAATCACTTGGAAGCTAAAACTACTAGAAAAAGGATCTAAAAATTTAAAAAAAAACCTTTGAATGTGCTCCCGATTTGCACAACTAGGGGAGTATCGATGATGTTCTTCTGTCCAAAATGGTGTATGGGTAGAAAATTATTAATAGCATGAATTTCGATATTTTTAAAAGTTTCAGTTCTTTCAGGATACATGTTACAGGTTCTGGATCGATTGTCTCTTTATTTTATATTGATTGACTAAAGGTAATAGGTTGGCGAACTTTCTATTCCATTTGGAATACGATTTTTTATACCGTTCACCATAGTATGGAGGGTATATTAATTTTGTTTTTCCGTTTGTAACTCATCGAAATAATAATTTCCGACCCTATAATGTACATATATGGGCAATATTGCCAATTTTTTAATATTCCATTTTCAAAAAATCAGCTTTTTTGTTTTTGTGGCACATCAATGATTTTTGGTACACATATAGAGAAAAATGTTCTGACTCCGAAACCGTTCGCGATCAAATTTTTGATTGATGCGCGCAAAAGTTATCGAGGTTTTAATTTTGGGCATAAGAAACAAATCTTAAAATTACGCCGTTTATTATATTGACCAAAAACGTTGATATATCACTTCCTCCGTAAAATAAGAATATGAATATATTTTAATAATCGCGATAAAGTTGCACATCTTCGGCAAAATAAAAAAAATTAAAAAAAAATATAGGAGATTACATCAATATTTTCATTATATTAATGACATACACACACCTAAAAATTAATTTAAAAATATCTACATACATAATCTAAACACCATGATGAATCAAATGATATCAAAATCACACAAGTCCGTGTAGCGATTTGTAAATCACAGCGACAACAAAACAAGATATTGAGGAAAAATATTTGTTTTTTGGTTCGAAAAAATAATGTCATCATATTTATTTTTTTAATTTTATACAAAAAATTTCAGAAAAAAATGTTGGGGTTATTCTGCTATTTTACCCGAATTTCGCCGAAAAATTGACATATAGAATAATCACTTTTGTGTATAAGTATACGTCTTGCGGATGGTACCAAGACCCTTTCGATAAATCTTGGGGTTCTATAAATAGGAATAAATCTTAAAATAATATTGTGAAATATACATTTAAAATTGCGTCTAAATCGCGTAATTCTCAAAATCATTTGATGCGCATGCAGTTTCCAGGAAGTACTTATGTGTATCTTCCAATCCATATATATTTTGCGAAATTTCATTTGACGGCTAAGATGTACTACATGTTGCATTGAAGTACCCAAAAACTCGTAAAACGCGATTAATTTCCGAAAACTCCATATGCCATTAACGCGCATCCGATTTCAGTGTTCACCCTAAAAAATACATTGATCTATACCGATATCAATGTGGTCCATTAATAGCCATGGATGTGCCAGCTCACACTATTTTTGAGATAAATTGGGTACATCTCTCTTTCGGTGGAAGTTTTTAAAGTTCTCTTTTCGAAAAATATCAAAATCCGTATGAGGTCATTTATTGAAGCGGAAATGATCCACAGAAAGTGCAAATAAATCCGCGATGTTTTCAAAAACATTTTGTTTGCCAAATGTCGTGTTTTTCGAAATCCGGTTCCCGCCGTTCTAGTAGATGGATTTTGACGAAGAAGATTTAAGGTTTAATCATCCGAAACGTAAAAGACTTTATTGATCGCGGGTACCCACCATGTCATTCAGTTGACAGATCTAAAAATTTGGTTTGGAGGTCAATATCATGAACAGTTTGCAACAACAGATCAATTAACCCAAAACTATTCACTTTTTTCATATACTTAAGTAAATCCCGAGTTATAAAGGGGTGAACCTCCGTTTCAGCTATGTTAAAAAATTGGCAATATTTCCTATATATATTTTCGTCCGATTTTATGTAAATTGAGCACCGAACTCCCCATATTTGTCCGATTGCAACAAAAATTTGTACGAAGTTGTTGGTAAATGATGCACCAAACTCCCAATGTTTGTCCAATTCAAACAAAATTTTGCTCGGCATATTGAACTAGGTCCCGTTTGATGTGTGCGTGTATGCGATGTATGGTTCACCAAACTCAAAATAAAAACCCAAATATAAATAAAATAGGTCCGTAACAAAATAAAATAGGTCCGTATTGTTGTATACTAATTTTTGTGGAAATCGGTTAAGATTTAGATATAGTTCCCATATATAGTTTCATCCGAAGTTTGGTAATTGGTGCACCAAGCTGCAAATATTTGTCCGATCGATACAAAATTTTGCACATCGTACTGAATTAGGTACAGTTTAATGTCTGCGAAGTTTTGTAGAAATCGGTTCAGATTTTTGCCAAATGATTGACCAAGCTCCCAATATTTGCGCGATTTATACAAAATTTTACACAGCGAACTGACTTAGGTCATTATTGATGTTAGTGTAAATGGTGCACAAAACTCTTAATATTTGTCCGATTGAGACAAAATATTGCGCTATATATGGAGTTAGGTAAATTTTTGGTAGAAACATGTGAGACCCAAAGAGAACCAAATTCGAGGCTATTCGATTAAACCTGAAACGTGACCAACCTTCCCAAAATACTGAATATTCGGCGAAACCTTTATATGGGGGCTATCGTAAAAAGATAGACTCATATCGATCATTTTTGGTAGGGAGATTTGGTGCCCAATGGGAGCTCAAAGTACCAAATTACAGTCAATATCACAAAAAAATCCAAATATAGTCGAATATTGGGGCTGCCCTAAAAAGTGAACCGATAAATCTCATTTTAAATATTGTATTCCTAGGATTACTTACAATGTGTATTAAAATTTCAGAGCTTTATATCAAGGCGAAGCATTCAAGAGCATCTTTCCAATTTGTAAGAGGGTGCGACAGAGGTAATTTTGGGACTTGTTGTTGCCATTTCCGCACACTCCTTTATTTAACTTTATGCCGACTTTACAAAAATTACCTTTTGCTAAATCTGAATATGCGATACAAGAAACCCCGGGGCCGGGTCGAGTAAAATTAAATTTTTACAAAAAACACATTTTGTTAAATCTGAATATGCGATACAAGAAAACCTGGGGCCTGGCCGGATAAAATTAAAATTTTACAAAAAGCTCCGGGTATAATTAAAAGTTTACAAAAATCACATTTTGCTAAAACTGAATATGCGATACAAGAAATCCGGGGCCGGGCATAATTAAAATTTAAACTTTTAATGGTTTGGCATATTCTGCACCAATTTTTTATGATTTTATCTGAGTCCATGGCTGGAGTTGTCCCCATATAGGTGTATTCTATCATAGTATAGGGGATAGTCGTTACTCGAAATAGTCAGTTTTACCTTACAAATTATGGAATTCTAAAACGATTTAGTCATTGGTTGTAATCATTCTGCATTCTAAGGATATCGTGAACAAAACTCGAACCTGACGATAATGAAATATATCGCCCAACATTTCTCCCATATAATTGCAGATACCTCCTGAATGAAAGAATCGGGTTCGAAATTGAGCTATATCGGTCATCAATTAGGCATAGCCCTCATGTAATGATAATCTGAAATATTCGGTGATTCCTACACTATGTAATCAATATTGGTCCCCCCCTTAGGCATTTTATACCCTACCATGCATTATTTGTATCAGGCCACGTTTTGGGGTTTTCAGATTTTTGATTTAATTAATATTGGTCCCTCCTTAGGCATTTTATACCCTACCATGCATTATCAGTATCAGTCCACGTTTTGGGTTTTTCAGATTTTAGGAAAAATCCCCATTAAAAATTGCTGAAATTTGTATTTGGTGTACATATAAATCGGTTTGTAGAATTATCGGTATAGGGCCACTTTTTGGTATGTTCTCTACATTTTCATTGCAAGTATCTGCCAGTACACGTATTGTAGAGGATATCCATGGTTCAGCCTCACCGAACTTAACGCCTTTTCACTTGTTTTTAAAATAAATTTATTTCATTTTTTTCGTATAATAAATAAACTTAATAGACCGATTTTTAATGGGTTTTACCTTCTGGAAAGTTACCGAAGTTACTACTTAAGTGACAACTGAAAGATAACTGTAAATGACACTGCTACCGACATCCGTTGACAATGTCAAAGTTGAAGAATATCGACTGTGACATCGATTAAAACTAACAACGAATAAAATTGCATACCAATTATATATGCACAGAAAAAATAATTCATATATTATACTAGCGGGCCCGGCAAACGTTGTCTTGCATAG